GTAGTTAATTCTGTGAAAGGTCAGTGTTTAGATTTTTAAAAAAATTTTTTTTGCATGTGGATGTCGTTTGAACATTTGTTGAAAAGACTCTTCTTTCTCCATTGAATTACCTTTGCTTCTTTGTCAAACATCAGTTGACTATTTATGTGGTCCTATCTCAGGGCTGTCTCCTCTGTCACATTAACTATTCATCTATTCTCTTGCTAATGACACATAATCTTGATTACTGTACATTATAGTGAGACCTGAAGTCAGGTCTTGTCAGTCTGCTGGTATTGTTATTGTTCAGTATGATTTTGACTATTCTGGGTCTTTTGACTTTGCATATAAACTTAAGAACTAGTTTGTCTACATCCAAAAATAACTTACTGGGATTTTGATTAGGTTTGTACTGAATGTATGGATGAACTTGTGCCATTTTAACAATATGGAATCTTCATTTATGTGATCATGTAACCTCTCTCATTCATTTAGGTTGTATTTGATTTGTTTTCATTAGAGTTGTGCAGCTTTTCCTCAGACAGATATTGAACATATTTTGGAGACTTATATCTAAGTATTTTATTTTAGGGATGCTAATGTAAATGGTACTGTTTTCAATTTCACATTCCTATTGTTTGTTGCTGGTATATTGAAATGCAACATTTTTTTTTTAATCTTTATTTTTGAAAGTATTACAGATGTCCTGCTTCTCCTCTTCCCCCCACCCTCATTTCCTCCCTCAGGCCTTCACCACACTATTGTCTGTGTCCACAGGTAATGCATATAGGCATATAAGATCTTTGTTTAATCTCTTCCCAACCCTGCATAGTCTCTGTGGAGAAATCAGCTGACAGTCATATGGGCGTTCCCTTGTAAGTAACTCTTTTTCTCATGCTGCTTATAAGATTCTCTCTGTATCTTTAAGATTTGGAATTATGTTGTGTCTTGGTGTGGACCTCTTTAGATTCCTCTTGTTTGGGACTCTCTGTGCTTCCTGGACTTGTAAATCTATTTCTTCCACCAGATAGGGGAAGTTTTTGTCATTACTTCTTCAAATAGGTTTTCAATATCTTGCTCTCTCTTTTCTCCTTTTGGCACCCCATAATGTGAATGTTGGTAAGCTTGAAGTTGTCCTTGAAGCTCCTTAATCCTCATATTTTTAGATTCTTTTATATTTTTGCTCTTTTGATTGGGTATTTTTTGCTTTCTCATATTCCAAATTATTTATTTTATTATTATTTTTAAAAAAATATATTTTATTGATTTTTCACAAAGAGGAAGAGAGAGGGATAGAGTCAGAAACATCGATGAGAGAGAATTATTGATTAGCTGCCTTTTGCACACCCCCTACCGGAGATGTGCCCGCAACCAAGGTACATGCCCTTGACCGGAATTGAACCCGGGACCTTTCAGTCCGCAGGCCGACGCTCTATCCACTGAGCCAAACCGGTCTTGGCCATATTCCAAATTATTGATTTGATCCTCAGAATAATCTACTGTTGAATTCCCGTATATTATTAATTTCTGACTGGTCCTTTTCTGTGACTTTCAGCTTCTCACTAAGAGCCTTGAAAGTCTCACTAAGTCCCTTCAAGGTCTCATGAAGATTCTTGAGTAACTTTGTAATCGTGGTTTTGAACTCTGTATCCAGTAACTTGCTTTCTCCCACTTGTGACATATTTGTCTCTGTATTTTGGCTGCTTCTGTTTGTTTCTCTGTATTGAATGGAGCTGCTATGTTCCCCTGAGTTGGTAGAGTGGCTTTCATGTAGTAAGTATCCTATAGGGCCCAGAGACTTAGCCTCCCCAAGTCACCTGAGCTGGCCCTCTAGATGCACCCCTTTGTGGGCTGTGTGCAGTCTTGTAGTTGAGACTTGATTGCTGTCGGTGTCATTGTGAGGATTTGACCTCCAGTCCATTGGCTGTGAGGACCAGCTGCGACTACAGGAGAGCTGCTGTGCAGGAGACACTCCTGTGGAGCAGGACTTGCTTCCATGGGGCTTTGGTGTTCACCAAGTCTGCCCCTTGAGTGTGTTGCTTGTCGATGTGTAGAGCTGTAAACTGGTGTGGTCAGATCCTGTCCACTGGGGACTTCTTTTCCCAGCTCTGCAAGTCTGAACTGAGGGTCTGGCGTGTGGCTGGGACCCCTTGCTCCTCATGGGGAGGCCTCCACAGAGACGCTATCCCACCTGCCTAAAAAAAGGTAAATGTGGGTGTTGGAACAGCTGGTTCTGTGCCTCTGCCCCTCCTACGTCTCAGTGTGCTTTCTTCTTTACTTCTCTAATTGTAGGACTTCCATTCGGCTAGCTTTTAGGTGGTTCTGAGTGATGATGGGTTTGTATTTTAGTTGTAATTTTCCCATGGTTGTGGGAGGTGGTGAGTACAGGTGTTTACCTATGTGGCTATTGTGGTTCTCCTTAATTCTTTTTATATTAACCTTATATCCTGAATCTTATTATATAAGCTTGTTAGTTACAGGAGGCTTCTTGTCATTTCTTTAGGATTTTCTACATAATCATGTCATTGGGGACAAAATCAGTTTCATTTCTTCTTTCCCAACTTAAATACCTTGCACTGTATGTTGCATTAATTAGAGCTTCCATTATGTGGCACAGGAGTGGTGAGAGGGGACATCCTTGCACTGTTCCTGATCGTAGCAATAAAGTATCTAGTTTCTGAACATTAAGTATGATGTTAGCAGCTAATAATTAAGTTTCCTGTCTTGTTAAGCTGCCCTTTTCCTGGCCCTCGGGCTAGGGAGAGCAGGATTTTCTGGGATCTTTATTTGCACTCAAAATGTCTGGGTTGCCATTTTCTCCAATAATCAGTATAGGATAAGTGAGGAATAAGGAAAATCAGGAAACTTGACATTGGATTGTTCCTTGGCTCCCCAAATCCCTAGCCAGTCTGCCTCTTCCTCTCCCACCCACCTTTCATAGTCTTACGTTTGTTTTACATATCATGTTCAGGATTTTTAGCTGTACTTGGCAGGAAGAATAAGAAAAAGAAATTTAATGTTTAGAGAGAGAGTGTGTGTGTGTGTGTGTGTGTGTGTGAGATGAAACTGTGGTAACACTTAATTTTTTTGTAATATCTTTTAGAGACATTCATTTATAGATAAAATATAAAGTCTGAGATAAATTTCAAATAATTTAGTAGGGATAGAATGCAAGTGAGAATTGTTGAAGATGGGTGAGCTGTATATGAAGGTTTCTTCTGTTTTAGCTGGAATTTTATTGTCTTACTCTGAACACTGCACATTTAATTAATTAAAACCGAAAACTATTAGCTTAACAAATGAATTTTACTTGATATCAAAGTATTTCAAAATATGGAGACTTTGAGAACAAAACAATAAATAGGGTCCTTGGTGGTAAGCAGGTGGAGACCATCATGTCAGAATGTCATAATTTCTATTAAGGTTTGCGAGAATAACCTAAAAACTTAGACATAAAAACTCAGTATTTAGAAAGAAATATATTCTCTATAGAATTGGTAATAGGCTAAAATATACTCTAATCTGCTGATGAATATGTAGGAAGCACAATATTTCAGAATATACATTTATTCCACAGATACCATATTTCATTAATGCAAAACTGAACTTTTTCTTCATATTGTGGCATCGGAAATCCAAATACTTATAAAATTGATGGAATATCATATTCTCATTTGCAGTAATTTTTAAAAATAGTACATAAAATTAAGGTTTTATAATCTATGGGAGGACTTCTTAATTGGATATAATGGCTTAGCTCCCACATAAATCATCCTATACTTTTCACAGTGTTTTAAAGAACTGTTCACTTAGTTTTGGGGCTGGGTAAGAGGGAAAAAATCTGGAGCTAGAATAAAGAAATAAAATATAATTATAAATGTTTACCAAAGCATAGGACAGATTAGAGAGGAAAGAGGAAACTTTAGTATCAACAGAAATACAGTCTGACACTGCAGATCTAGGGAGATGAATAAAAATCTTAGTTACTATGGCAAAGAACTTGGTTAATAGTAAGTGGCTACCTTTAGGTTCCAAATCCATTAACCTCTCAATCTATGCAAATAAAAAGTTACAGACATTGGCCCAACCCCATTTTCCCCGCCAATGTTCTCACCAGGAGTTTGGACCATCTACCAAAACTCCTTATTATTAGGATTTGATCTCCAATAGCTTTTCTGACGTTGATGATAAACTAGAACTTCTACAGTATGGTTCACAATGATTTTAGAAACAGAAATAAATGCTTTGTGATTAAATCCTACTCTCCATTAACACAGAATTAGTGTTGGTTTTAACTTGAAACCGTCAAAAGACATTATTAATTTGTTGCCAGTTTTAGAGGTACACAACTGTAATTAAGATTTGAAACAGAGGCCTTGATAAAGCTTAAACAGAATCATTTTCCACAACTCCAATTTTATTTAGACTTTATGTGGTTGCACAGAGACACACTTAAAGAAGATATATTTATATTACATATAAATATAGATAATATGGGAGTTTCTGACAAATGATTGTTAATGAAAATTTATTAACTATATAACCTTGAATACCAGAGCAACTTCAATATGAACAAATCAGCACTTAAGTTCCCAGTTCGTAAACTTTGGTTGTATGACGATGCCTTAAGCACCAAGGAACAAACAATAATCTTAATTTAAAAAGAAAAAAAAAGCCCAAGAAACAAAAAATCCTTCAACTATCTTGAATCTAGTTTTTTTAAACATAATTTGGGGAAATTCTCTCTTGTTCTACCTTTTTTCTCCATCTTGGTCAGTTTCTAAAACCATTATCAATAAAAATTAATGAGGGGAAAAAAGGACAGAAAAACTATGACAGATAAGGTGATGTCTCAAGTATTTCTGGAAATTATTCTGTCTTAAATACAAAACTGTTTTAACTTAGGAGATTTGAATTATATAACACGAATGAAAAAAGCTCAGCTCTTAGTTTTCAAAATTCAAAACCTCAGACAATGTAATCATAACAAGAGCTGGGCTGAGAGGCGCCTGGAGAGAGCTTTAGCAGACCCAGCTGTAGACATTCGTGCACTTCAACTTCTTCCCTGGAGCTGCTGGGTCTGTGGCTGCAGGGGCCAGCTGTATAATACACCGGCATCTAGAGACCTGATGGGAAGAGCGTAACCTTCCGTGGGACTTCACAAGAAATCTGATGGGCAAGAGGAAGAACAATCCAAGAGTGGAGATTGAAATAGGAAAAAGTGAAAAAAATATATCTAAGTTTACATAAGTCCAGATGGAGGGGACTTGTATGTACAAATGGAAAACTGCCCACGTGTAGAAGGGATTGCATCCTTGCATACACGTGTGGAGAGTGCTCACATTACTTAAGTCGGTTCATACATTACACCTGACATTCACACAGGATGTTTCTGCGGGAGGTGGACGAGGGGCTAGTCCCTCGCTCCTCAGGCCCCCGTCCTCTGTCCGGGCTGGCTGGTGGTCTCTGCGCAGGACTCGGCGGCCTGGTATATGAACGGGTAAAGCTTCATGTCTGGCCCGGGGCTGGAACAGTTCCTACATTCCTCATTGTAATAGCGTAGCAACAGCTTATATACTTCTCCTGGGGAGTCAAGGGCAAGACCGATTTGCACATTAAGGCTTATAGATGGATGAAACTACTAAACAACACTCAAGTTTTATCTTAATCCAAATAACATGTTTAAACTTGAAAACAGAGTATGAATTTCATGTGCCTGCAAGACTTTCCTGACATAAAGATAAGATTTTAAAAAATACTTTAAAGAAACTATTTATTAGCTTATGATTCCAACAGGCTATATACAGGTGGGGCAAAATTAAGTTTACAGTTGTGGGTACCTGAAACAGAGTTCATTCTCTTATTATTATTTATTAATTACAGTATTATTTTCCACCCGAACAACTGTCGACTACTTTGCCTCCGTGTCGCACATCACCCACGCTCCCTCTGGGAGTCTGCGGCAGCTCTGACTCTGCACGGGCTCCCCAGGCAGCAAGGCCCGTTCTGTCCAGCGGGTGAGCAAGCTGGCGTGTCTGCTAAGCAGAGCTCAGAATGCTTAGCCTTACTTTAATAAGACAATATACCCTTTCAAAACTGTGAATGACACTTGGCCAGAAAACAATGATTCTACCAATGACGCCTCTCTAAAACTTTGCTTCCCCTCCTCAAAAATTATATTCCATTTTTTTCTTAGTCACTGTGATCCATCAGATTTGGCACGTGCTCCTCCTGCTAACTCCGCTGGATAGCAGTGCCACGGCTATCTCCTACTCACCGACAGTCAGTTTCCTTTCGGTAAGAAAAGTGTGCATGCTGTAAATGTCTCTCATCAACTCCGCGTCCCCGAAGGTGAAATAAACCACATCCCGCTCAGCTGCAGCAGCTGCCAGGATCTGTATCACGGCTGTGGCAAGAGAGAAAACACAGCTATATTATGACACTTCCCATGAAGACACCGCTAGTTCTTTCAACCAGCTAAATCATAGCTGGTGTGCCAGAGAGGTATCCTGCATTAAAAGATTTATAAACCCGATATACACATCAGAAATGGCAAATACAGGGTGGGCATAAATCATCTACTTGTGTGACTGTTCAGACCTGCTGCCGAGACTATCATTGAGCCACAGCACTCCCATCAAGCACCTCTGTGGGAAGACAAAGGAAGGTGCACTGGAGGCTGCAGAGCTAAGGCACTGAGGTGGTGTTTCTTCCTGTGTTTCCTTACCTGATGGTTTGTCTCATTACACAGCCACTGGTCTTTGTACCACAGGAGTCTCTGTGAGTCCCCTTGACCAGTGCACCCAGGAGGCTGCCTCATTAACATCAGTGTACCTCACTAACCCGCAGCAAGCATCTCACCCCTCATGCCCGCCCACCTCTACCCAAACACCACAGCATGGAGAGATTGCTGCTGAGAACACTGGACAGAAACTCTGCATGCTGGGATGGGAGAATCATTCAGAACCACTGTCTTCAGGAATCAAAGTTACGAATCACTGAGGCTCAAGGATGTTTCAAAAAATTAAGTTTCTTGTAATCTTCAGTTCAACAGACAAAATTTAAAATAACAACAACAAAACTGAACACAGGAATAATAAATGCCCTTTTCCAGTTATATATATCTTTTTCCTTTTTAAAAAAAGGAAGTGGAAATAAAGCTAAAAGTTTTAGTATGATTTTGAATTTTGAGAGCATATTAATGTTATACACTTCAAAAAATAAAATTAAAAGAGTAAGAATGGGACCCTAGCTGGTTTTGCTCAGTGGTTAGAGCATCAGCCTGTGGACTGAAGGGTCCCTGGTTCAATTCCAGTTAAAGGCACATACCCAGGTTGTGGGATCAATCCCCAGTGGGGAGCATGTGGGAGGCAGCCAATCAATGATTCTCTCTCCTCATTGATGTTTCTAACTCTCTCCCTCTTCCTTCCTCTCTGAAATCAATAAAAATAATTTAAAAAAATCACACCCAGAAAGAATGAGAATGATGCCCTAGCCAGTCTGTCTCAGTTGTTAGAGCGCCCTCCTGTGGAGTGAAGGGTCTTGGGTTTTATTCCGGTCAAGGGCATGTCATACCTCAGTTGCAGGCTCACCCATGGGTGCCAGACCCTGGGCACACGGGTGGCAAGCAGAGCTACAGCAGCAGCGGTGGCGTGAGACTCTCCCGGGGATCCTCCCCTTTACCCCGCCCCCCCTTTGGGACCAGGATCAGGACTGACTGGGGTGTGTGTGGGAGGCGACCAATCAATGTGCCTCTCACATCAATGTTTCTCTCTGTGTGTCTCTCTCCCTTCCATTCTCTCTAGAAAAACCAATGGAAAAAATATCCTTGGTGAGGATTAACAAACAAAAAGAATGGGAATGAGGAGAAACCTATAATAGGAAGCAAATGAAAACAAGTGAGTCAATTTTATTTCAAAAGAATAACATAACTACACTGAAGGGAAAGGAAAAAGGAAAGGATGAAAGAACTAATGTAACTTATGAACACAATATTTGACTAATATACCCTCAGTATTGGGCATGAAGGAAAGAAATACAAACTAACTCCCCACTCTTTTGACTAGGTTTGGTTACCATAGTAGTACAGGCAAAGCAATTCTGAAAGTATTTTAGATATATTTCAGGATTGAGCAACTGAGTAAATGTTGATACTGTTGGGAGCTAGCGTTCTCTCTAATGGGAAAAGACAACAGCTCTGGGAGGCGATACATTCAGGCAATACACCTGTATGTGCTCATGACATCCCCAGTGTGTGTGTGTGTGTGTGTGTGTGTGTGTGTGTGTGTGTGTGTGTGAGAAAGAGAGAGAGAGAGAGAGAGAGAGAGAGACAGAAATCTCTTCCTTTGCTAAAAACGTCTACAAGAAGACATCCCAGTAGCAATGAGCATACCTATTGCCCAGTTCTTGGGATCTAACACCATTTCCCCTAAAAGAAGCAGGACTCCTCAGGGAAATGCCTGATTCCACACCAGGGACAGGACAGGTACAAGACGAGTTCAAAATATTTTGCTATACCAGAAAGGATATGCTTAAAAACTGGTGGGAAGAAAAAGTGACGGAAATGTGTCACATGGATACAGGGATCAATTTGAAGAAGCTCCCACTAGCCAAATCTGGAAGCTAAATACCACTCTGATAAGGCTATATAATAAAGAGGTAATATGCAAATTGACCCTCATGCCGTCACAAGATGGCTGCCTGTGACCAGGCCAGCAGGGAGGTTAGTGAGGAACAACCAAAAGACTGAACAGCAGGCTGCGTGGGGCAACCAGGCCAGAAGGGGGGACAGTAAGGGGCAACTAGGCTGGCAGGGTGGGGGGCAGTTAGGGATGACCAGGTTGGCAGGGGGGCAGCTGGGGGCAAGCAGGTCGGCCTGGGGGGGCAGTAAGGGGTGACCAGGCTGGTGGGGGGGATCCGTTAGGAGCGACCAAGCAGGCAGGGAGGGGGCAGTTGGGGGCGATCTGGCCAGCAGTGGGGGGCAGTTAGGGATGCCTAGGCCAGCAGGGAGTCAGTTAGGGGCAATCAGGCTGGCACACAGAGGCAATGAGGGATGATCAGGCCGGAAGGGGAGGGGGGGACAGTTAGGAGCAACGAGGCAGGTAGGCAGGTGAGCGATAAGGAGCCAGCAGCCCCAGATTGCAAGAGGGATGTCCAACTGCCAGTTTATCCCAATCAGGCCTAAACTGGCAGCTGGCCTACCCCACGGGGTCCCGGATTGGAGAGGGTGCAGGCTGGGCTGAGTCCCCCCGTGCACCAATTTCGGGGACCAAGCCTCTAGTCCATAGCGAACCCACAGAGCAGAGGAGGAGCTCCTGCTCCCAGGAGAGAGCAAAGGCAAGTGAGCAGGGAACTGGAGAGATCGCTGGGCTGAGACAGCCCTCCTTCACAGCCATCGTGGCGAAGATTTGATCCAGCAAAAATCACTACAGGTGCTGAGTCTATTATAAATTTTGTCTTAAACTGTCTTATTAGCTATAAGAAAGGAAAAAATCCAAAACTTACACAGTGGAGAAATTAGACGTCTTTACTGGATGATCAAAATTACCACCGCCAGTGGGTCAGATGCCATCATGTGTCTTAGACACTATCCCCTGCACAATGCTCGAGCATGCAGAGGCTCAAGCTAATCAGGAGCAAAGAAACCCAAGGAACACTGCATTCTTCTTCTTTTTCTTTTATTGATTGATTTTAGAGAAGAAGGGAGAGGAATACAGAGATAGAAACATCGATGAGAGAGAAACATCTATCAGCCTACTGGGGATTGAGCCCGCAACCCCAGGTATGTGCCCTTGGCCGGAATTAAACCTGGGACCCTTCAGTCTGCAAGCCAATGCTCTATCCACTGAGCCAAACCAGCTAGGGCTTTTTAAAAATAATTATATTTTATTTTTTTACAGAGAGGAAGAGAGAGGGATAAGAGTTAGAAACATCGATGAGAGAGAAACATCGATCAGCTGCTTCCTGTGCACCCCCTACTGGGGATGTGCCCACAACCAAGGTATATGCCCTTGACCGGAATCGAACCTGGGACCCTTTGGTCCGCAGGCCGATGCTCTATCCACTGAGCCAAACCGGTTTCGGCAACACTGCATTCTTAACGCATGTCGATGGCAGAGAAAACAGAGAGCTGTGGAAACACTCCAGATTCAAAAAGAGGCTACAAGACATGACAACTAAATGCAGTATCTGACTCTAGACCCTTTACATGATTTTATTAGGCCACTTGATAAAACTGCAACATAGATGATACAGTAGATAAAAATATTCAATCAATGCATATTATAAAATTAATAACTATAATGTGTTTTATATAAAAATGTTTTATTCTTTTTTGAAAATATTTTTTTATTGATTTCAGAGAGGAAGGAGAGGGAGAGATAGATAGATAGAAACATAAATGATGAGAGAGAATCACTGCTTGGCTGCCTCCTGCACGCCCCACACTGGGGATTGACCTTGAACTCAAGACCCTTCAGTCTGCAGGCTGACAATCTAGCCACTGAGCCAAACCGGCTAGGACAGAAAATAATTTATTCTTAGGAAGCACAAACTGAATATTTAGGAAAAGGGGCACAATGTTTATAACAAGTTCAAATGATTCAGAAAAAAATTATATGTGTATACATATATACACATGTATGTAAACACACACAAAGATAAATGTGTGTATAATTTTACTTTTTTCAAATTTCATGAGTTCAAAATTATTTTCAAGTAAAAAGTTTTTAAAATTAAATAGGAAGGAAAAATATTTTCAAATTAAACTAGTAAATTTGATATGTTGAGTTTCCCCAGATTTGAGAAAGAATATAAAACACTATACTATGGGCGAGATTCTAAAATACCAAAGTATTTTCTAAATTCCAAACTACTATTTGTTGAATATCCACAACATGACTAGGCCTCATTAATCTCAGAGTACTAAAAGCAATTAGTCTCAAAATAGAAATATTTTAATTAAAACTGCTCAACCAACTTGGGCATACATTAAAGCTTCCACACTCAACTTCAAAAGGGCCCTGTTAACCTATACTGCACAGAAAACGGAAGCTAGTGAATCATCATCTTCCTCTACCACGAGGTACCATTTCTTCCTCTTAGTCTGAATGAGAATTCAGCCTTAAGTATTTCCTATTTAAAGCAGAAAGAGGCTGGCCGGTGTGCCTCAGTAATTGAGCATCCGTCTACGAACCAGGAGATCTCGGTTCTATTCCCGGTCAGGCCATATACCCAGGTTACAGGTTCGATCCCCAGTGTGGGGTGTGCAGGAAGCAGCCGATCAATGATTCCCTCTTACCATTAATAATTTATCTCTCTCTCTCTCTGAAATCAATAAAAATATATATTTTTTAAAAAGAGACCCAAAGAAATGTCCTTTTAGTCCTATTTCCTCCTTATATACAG